CTATGCCGGTATTGCTATGGTTTTCACACGTGAGCCTGCAAACGTTTGTGACAATCCAGACGTTTCTCAGCTCCACTGACTGCTTCACAACCTCAGTTGTTGTATCCCCATAGGCTTAAGGGAAATCTCTGCTTCGTTTTCCTCCTTCTCATAAAAAGCTAATATGCACATACCTTTTTTTAAACAGATTTTGTCTTCAAATACTCATTCCTGCTTCGCAACTAAGATCCGTAAGTTTGTACGATTTTTTGGCAAGATCATTATTTGAATGCACGGACAAAGACACTGAATGTAAGAGCAGAGAGATCACCCTCACTCTACGTCCTAGTAGCCTCATTCAGTATAGTGGTTTAATATGTGCCCCATAAATTACAAACATTCCATCGTTTTTTAGAGAAGACAGGATTCTTAAAATGAGCGCTGTCTTAATTAAGTTAAGCCTGAATTAATGTTGCATCTTTGTCACAAAAGGAAATAATAAAAGCTGAGGCACTTGATTGTCGAGTGAATGCGGTAATTATCAACTTCTGCTGCAGTTAATATTTAGATATTTAGCTGAGCGCCGAAGGGTAATTTCTTTTCTTCATTCATTTATCTCCAACAGCTGACGCCCTCACCGACGAAGATGACTTCTTACTGACTGATGCTGAGTCTTGGTTGAGCAAGCCATAGTGACACAGCTGGTTGTGGAAAGAAAATTCTCCCTCGAACTTTATCAAAATACGCCAAAGCAATTGCAACCATTTCTAAAAGCCTTTAATTATTCAGAGGTTTTAATAATTTTCTCCATTAGCGGCTGCTCATACATACATATATACATAAACCTAATTGGGTCTCCCTTAACTGGGCTTTTCAGACACAACTAACTATCTCTACAGTTCATAATTTAACAATCATAATTTATAATCATAATAAAAAGCAAAATGTCAATGATGCCTATTCCATTCATTAAATATAATGTTACATAGTATTTTCTTGAAGTTTTTTATACCCTAATACGCTGAAGATCCTTTAAAAAGCTATTCCATTGTTTGGCACTGAGCACAAAAATAGAAGCTCCGTTGTCCTGTCACTTGACAAGCGGCAGCGTGGAGAGCTCAAATCTTTGGATCTTCTCCTGTTTCTTCTATGAATCGCCGACCGTTTCGTAAAGTTATTCGAAAGATAACCTGATACGTACTAAGCCATTCAAACATTTAAAAACTAAGACTAAATCTTTAAATAAAAACTTTTCGGAAACATTCAGCCATTTAAGAGATCTGCTACCCTCGGAAATGCGATCATATTTCCTTAAACATAAAGCAATTCTGGCGGTAAACAATTCTGTAAGTTTATGGTTTAATAGCCGACTGTAACGTTAGGTGATCGAAACCCAAACATGAAAATATCGGCGGTGAAAGGTTCCTGTTGTCGACGGAAAGACTGACGAACCCCATGTCTATTGGCTATAGCACTTTAAAAACAAAGAAAAGAAACGGAGAGTTTAGATCATTAAACACTTTACCATTAGCCACTTACTTAATAAATTAACAAATGGTTACTGCTAACACAAAATTCAGCAACAAAGTTATAAATTTTAGCCAGACAAGAGTACCGCCATAACACGAAAACCAATCGCAATTGGTTGATCGCAAGTGATCAAAACGAGATCCAGCCTAAAAGCACTTCACGCACACCACACAGGTGAATACTATGCTTTTAGCGCGCGCCGATGGGCTGGTTCGGAAGTGATAACTCACCTATTCACCTCGCTCCAAGTGGCCAGAGACAAACTCACCCGTCAAGAGTTTATTTTCCGACTATTTTTAGGTAAATCGACAAAAATTAACTTTGTGTGTGTGTGTGTGTGTGTGTGGTATATACTAAAGCATTTATCTACCTCAGTGTCAAGGATAATGGTGGATATTTTCCTCCACTTTGTTAAATTATTTACAGTAAAATTACGTCCCTTAATAATTTCTTTTAATTTTTCTGTCAAAAGAAATGACCAATTGTCTAAAAATTATAAAACAAAATTAAAGCGAGACACCCAGGCTGATAAAACTGTTTTCACTTTAGCACAGTCTTTGACAGGGTGTCAAAACCACTTCCACGACTTCAACATGAACAGATCCTTGATGGACACAGCGTTGATAATGATTAGAGAAAGTTTACTAAGAATTTTTTTCTGTTTTCTTTTTGTAACCAGAGGATCATGCTGGAATTCATACGATAACTTTGAGAATATCTTGCGGACTCGTCAAATTCCCGGAAGGTCAGACAATGGTGAGCACCGGCTCTCAAAACAGTTTGTAGTTTCAAAAATGGCATGCCTTGACATCTGCTTGCGAACAACAAGATGTGCTTCTTTTAATCTGCTAGAGAGGACTAATAAGAAATGGAACTGCATCATACTTGACAAAACTCCACGGGAATCAGATAAACTGAAACGCACAGATACAGGTTGGATGAATTTCAACGTTAGCTCGCAAGAACTTCAGAAGGTAGGCGGCGATAACATAAGACACTGCATTACCTAACTTCTTGCATCTTTCATTTCTTGGTGGGTCATTAGAGCTTGTTATTTCATTGGGAGCTTTTTCGATAGGAATTTTCCTTCAAATAGACGGCATAGAGACGGGTCTTAAGTTTTAAAGGTGCATTGTAATTAGCTTGTTGGTGTGTTCAGATCATGTGAATGAACGGCACGGAAAATGTGGATAAGTCTTCCCATTTGCAAATATAGAAATAACTTAGTAAATAAGAAAAATCTCGATGAAATCACGGAGACGTTTAGCGTGAAAGTTTTTTATGTCTAGCGTACATTGAGCTGCAGGACATCTGAAGCCAATTTTCAAAATCGAAAATTTAATTTCCTTTATCTTGATTAATATTAGCGAGATTTCACCGAGCTGTTAAAAAAAGAAGTGATTTTTTTTTCTTGATAGAAGCTAAAATTACAAACGAATTGGACCGTAAATTACAATTTAGTTACAAATGTTTTCGAGTTGCTGGAAATAAAATTCTGACCATTGTTTAGGAGTTGGTATTTCTCTTCTACGTTTTAGGCTATCCTAATTATTGAACGATCCTGCCAAGAAATTTTTGTTCGGGTGTCAGTAGTTAAACAATGCTTCGTCTTGAAAATGAAAATGACAACATATTTCATCATTTGCATGCGAAACCTGATTGGTGAATCAAAGAAAAATGAGGAAATTAATTGAAACCAATTTTGGCGACTAATTTCCACCTAAAAAAGATACTTGTATAAACCTTAGGAAAAATATGGGCTTTCACTTAATGCATCACATAATTCTCACTCTAAAAAAAATTGAATTAGGAAACTTGCTTTTTTGCAGATTTTGTCCTTTGACACCCAACTTTGCCTTCTGGAAAGATATGTAAGTTTTTTTTTGTTTTTGTTTGTTTTTTTTAAATAATACATGCCGAGAGAAAAGCAAATCCCTCCGAACACCAAGAGCAGAAATGTTTCGTAATCAATTCCATCCGCTCTCTGCAAAACTATCTACATGTGCACAAGAACCGGATCAATTTCAGTATCTGGGCAACTGCCCACCTACCCCTCCCCTAACCTAACAACAGACTATTGATAACAAGTTAGGGTTAATGTTGGGTTAGGGGAGGGGTAGGTGGGTAGTTGCCCAGATACTGATATTGATCCCAAGAACCTTGTATTTACTAAGAAAAATAAATAAGTAAATTATTAGCTGATGAATAAAACTGGAAGCCGCCAGTAATGTATTCTTTTCATCTGATTCTTTTAGCCTCGCCGACACTGATGAAGAAAACGTTTCCTGACCCAAGCATGAGTTTGATGATAAGAAAGCGAAGGCTATGATTTACATATTTTGCGGAAATAAAATTAATCAGCTGGCGAAAAGAAGACAGAAAAAAAAGAGACAAAAAAAAAATATGTAAAACAGCACGAGAGTGAAGTTGATAAGCACACAGTAACGGATTAAATAGCCTACGTGTTGCCGTACCCTCCCCCCCCAAGGTGAAACTTAAGCGTGGGGGGGGGGGTACGGCTACACGTAGGCTACGGATTAAAATGAATCTTGATCATTCATCCTTAAGCTCTAACAACAGTAGGCATTTTCGCCACAGAGTTCCCTTTATATCTTCTAAGGTGCTGACAAGTACAATGTAATAGTCAAAAGCTTTTTCAGTTGGAGATCTTATCCTTTATTCTCGTGACCCTAATGTATGATTCACGGGAGATGACCTAAGGAGAAGTAGATGCTAGTCACTGTTAGGGGTTGAGGGTTAAGGCTAGCAAATATAAACGAGCGAATCTTTTGGTAATCCTCATAGTAAGCTTCCCTCCTTGTTAAGTTTATGGCTGAAGATATGCCCATTGAAGAATGTCCGGACTCTAGGATACAGCTCCTAAAAGGCTTTCACTGAAGCAAGACTACAGTGAATGCGCAATGCCCAAGACAAACGCTACTCATCTGTGGGAACTTGGCTCTCCTGAATCGCTCAAGCGAAGGGCTAACGCTCCAAACGTCAGCTTTTTTACTCTTTACGGTAGCCAATTTACGTTTTCAACTCAGTTGTTAGTATTAAATTATCTCCTGAAATAGTGCGTATCCTGCAGTGCCGGCGTCTTATAAGAGCGTGTTGACTCTATTGTAATCTTGCGATCGTTTGTTCGACCGACCATATTTGATCTCTAATTTGAGTAGACGGTGGGGGTAAGTGGGGTAGGGGGCAGCGGGCAGGAAAAGGCGAAGGGAGAGGTCCCATCTCCCGTGCCTCTCCTTCCTTTTAACCACCCCCCTTAGTATATATTTCTTTCTCTCCCTAACCTCCCACTGCTCTAAAAATCAAAGGCAGCAGCTAATATCGCGCGTCAAAATTACTATAGCTTTGTCTTGACTTCGAAGTAAATACGTTCCCATGCCTGCTTGTGTGGGAACCTATAAAAAAACCTGTTAACTCGATTGAATTTCCGAAGCATAACCACTGAGGAATCCCAAAAAGCAAACATCACAGGAGGAGGTTTAATTCTATAATTTATTTGCGCACTAAAATCCGAAATACTATATAACAGTGGCCAGCTTCTCTCCAAGTGAGATCTGAGCCTTGCAAAGGCCTGACAGGTACACAATCATCAGCAAGTCCTGCAGTAAAAATGACAAAAAAAATAAGTCAAAATTGAATAGAACAGGATGCTGAAATTTAATAATTTAAATGTTGCTTGTACATCTTTGAGGTCTTGCAAACTGGTATACTGTAAGAGCAGTCTTGTTTAACAAGTACAGTTAAAGAGGAAAAATACAAGCAAAATAGTATATAAAGGGGCTAATGTTTGGGTTGGCTGGTTGGGAAATGAGATTGCATCCTGTAAGTCAGAACAATGCTAGAGACCGACCGAAGCGTCATGAGCATGGACGCTGCAGTTCCATAGAGGATGAACATTCTGATTGCAAGCTCACATGAAATTTAGCGCAGTGTAGCTATTACAGTACAAATCTGGAGCACCACTTAATTCATTACACCTTAACATAAGTGTGCATATTCTCTATACTGTTCTCTTTACGTTTCCTTAAAGCTGCTGATAAGGAGAATTTGTCGAAAAATCAAGACCTTCTTTACTAGGTGATCATTTCCTTTATTCTCACAACATTAATGTGTGATTCAGGGGTAATATTGGTGTGGAGAAATTAATTCTAGTCACTCTGGCGGTTAAGGAACAGCCTTAAGAAGACCCTTTCCATTACTTTGGTCACATAAATGATACATCCACAGGCACTGTAAAGTTAATATATCATTACCTGCATGTTACTGTTCAGGATAGATTCAAAGTCTTCTTTTGACATTCGAGGAACTGAAGTAACGAGATCCATCAGCTCTCTGCCTACACTGTTGTTACCCGCGACTTTTCCAGCCTTTTCCGAAAAAAGAAAAAAAAGCGCACGTGTTACTTTGCTGTGAAAGCACAACTTTCTAATGGCGATAACACTGTCCAAAACCAACATTTCGAAAGCAAAACAGATTTTGAACTCTCTCTAGGTGTGGTCTTTTTTTCCATCGGTAGAGGCTAGGGATAAGGGAGGGAGGAGAGGGTTGCAGTAGGCCCCCTTAATAAAAATCAGGGAAGGAAGGGGGGAAGGCGGGGAGGTGCAGTAAGCCCCCTTAAAAAATCGGGATACAGTCCCTATGTTGCCTAGCATAAAATTGGCATGGAGATATTTTCGTTGGCTGGGCCAGGTTGTTCAAAGCTAGGTTAAGATAACCCAGGATTAGTGTGAAATCTGATTTAAGATCTGAAAGCATTAAAAGAGAATTATTTTCGGCAATAATTTAATCATTGGATGCCCTTCAAATAATAGAGAATTAAACGAGAAAGGCTTTCGAACAAAGGAATAGAGAAACTCAAATTAAAATTTGACCCTGGGTTAGTGCTAATCATTCAAACAAAACCTGGGCCCAGGAATGCAGTTGACGAAAAATACGTTGTGATTTCTTTAAGACTTGTAACGGTATTTTGCTTGGAGTCGAAAAAGCGAAAATGTCGCTAAGGCCTCACTGATATCCTCACAACAACAAAAACAAAAACCCAAAAAGACTCACCAAAACATCATCCACATAAGCCACCACGGTACCAAGCATTTCTAAAAGCCTTTCACTAGCACTAGAAAAACAGAATATTGATAACTCAAACACTGAAAATTGCATTATAGTCAACTTAACCCCCTAGAGAGAGTGCTGTGGAAAGGGATATGGTACAATATTATTCTGAAAAAAGTCCCATTCATTGGAAATAAATGACTGAAAGTAAGAAGGGATAAAATAAAAATTGTAAAATACATTTAAATGCATTTCTTCCTTCCTTTTTTTTTGGGAGGGGAAAGAGGAACTTCCTTCTCTGACAGTTATTTAACCCTATAAGTATAGGTAACAACAAAATATTGCCTGTAATGTAGTGTTAACAAGCACAATTAAATTTTCAAGGACAAAAATATTGAACAAGCCCAAAGAGCAAGTACAATTCATAGTCTATGAAAAATTCACAACATTCACTTGTTAATAATTTGCATGAAAAACACATTACAGAAAGTCAAGACGGACAAAATTTTTGCAGAATGTGTGCTATTTGTAATTTGCATTACAACTTTGCACTTGTGCTATATAAAAAATGCACTCGTTTTCAGCCAATCAGACCCACATAATTTTTTCATGTGCATTATTGAGAATGTAAAGCCTGAGCATTGTGCATTACAACTTTGCACTTGTGCTATATAAAAAATGCACTCCTTTTCAGCCAATCAGACCCACATAATTTTTTCATGTATATTATTGGGAATGTAAAGCCTGAGCATCATGGAAAGGTGTCTAAGAGGGTTGGTAAAGCTCCTGGTAACTACAAGGGCATTTCTCAAGGCTTCTGAGACAGACAGCACTGCTTTAGATACTGTGAAAGATGCGCTTTTGTAAAGTAACGCATATTTGTTACAGAGTCCATACCATTACTAAGATCACTTACACAAAAGCAACCAATCTTTCAAAGGAAAAAACATTGATTTTGACTAAATGTATATTAAATTGAGACAATCAAGGCTTAAACTAAATTAAACACACTAGGTAACAAAGACTTAAGATGGGAGTCATGGCTTATTTCCAGACCAGATTGGACATCTGCAATGACCACAATGTGAAACAAACAATTATAATTCTCTTTTGAAAGTGCTTTTTATCCCAATAACAAACCACAACCTATTTCATAACAGATCTGTGGGTAGGTTTTGTGCGAGAGACCCACATCGAAACAATCACAATCTAAGAGGGCGAATGTGAAGTATGAGTGATCCTCATGCCATGGAAATTTATATTTACCACAAATTATATAATACAGACTATTAAAATAACATTGAAGTAGTACAGCACACTGTATCCTTAGGATTACTGACTGTTCCACTGACCTGTTAACATGTTGCATGTCTGTTAGTGGACTAATACTCTGTTTGGCTGCATTTTTTGTTCTCTGGAGCCAGTTCACTGCAAATTTAAAAACAAAAGGAAAGTTGAATTAATAACCCTTTAACTCCCAGAAGTGATTAACCCTTTCACTTCCAGATCAAATTTGTAATTCTCCCTGCTGTCAACCATACAATTCTTATGATGTTAGTTCTGAGAATTAATAAGTATTGGATCAATGAATTATCCCCAAATTGATCTTTTTCTTTATTCTCATCACTTATCTGGTTGATATTGTACTGATATTGTAAGGAGAAATTCTGTCTTGGTTACTAATGGGAGTTAAAGGGTTAACAACTTCTCCCTGTAATGATTCTTACATTATCCAGCAAACAGGTAATAAAAATACTAAAACATCTCGTAGAGGTTGTTGTCCTGATCTAACATCAAATACTCCTAACTGAGTTACAAGAAAATGTGTAGCAGCTAGAGGGGAGAATTGACAATCATACAGTACCCACTTCCACACAATTGTCATCATTGTCATCAACATCATTGCTACAATGTATATGACCATGATGACGATAATAAAACACATTTACAGTACAGCTTTACACAGTACATTCCTTACTTGGCTGTCAGTGATTAACCTAATCTTGTTATCATTATGGAAAATATAATGACTGTTTAAAGTGCATTCAGAATTGAGCATAGGCCAAAGTATTTTTATAAGGCCCTGGTAATAAACCAGGGTGTGAAATTGTGCTTAATACAGGTGCCAATGTGACTAAATTTTTGCATCTATATTGATACATAGAGGCCATCTTGGATCTAGGTGAGCCTGAACATTGTATATCTTCCATCCTAGTGTCCACTTTGCAGCATGTTAAAGATCTTTTCCCTAACTTAATTTTGAAGGGTCTTTCTAGAACGCTGACAGCATAAAAAAGGTTTTGTTTGTCTTTGAAGATGGTGACCAACTTTTTTTTGAATTGGCTACCACTTTGAATTTAGGAGCCAAGTGGCTATTTGAAAAAAAAAATTAATTTCATGCCCTGTAAACAATTGACATCAGTTTCCAAGATCCTTAACAGCTCCTGAAACTTCTTGTTCAATATTTTTTCAAGCAAATATCATTAATTAATAGAGAAAGATGTTTTTTCAGTCTTGTCATGAGTGTGAGACAAAGAAAAAATTCTGAGTTCCCATGAGGAATTGAACCTCAGACCTTTGGATTCCATGCTCTGATGCTCTACCACTGAGCCACAGAGACTCTACGGTGAGCTAGGTTTATTACAAACTTCATATGATATGAATCCTGCACACTGCTAGGATAAGCAATGATAGGACTGTGTCATTTTTACCAAGCTCAAAACTAACCATTTCTCTTATTCTATTTACAATCATCAATTAATGTTTGTTTGGAATATGGATACATGTAACTACTTTACATGAAGTTTGCAAAATCTTACCTCCCACTCTCTCAGGCCCAGTAAGTATAACCTCACAAGGGATGGGTGAGAAAATGGTTCCCTCTGTCTTTCCAGGAACTCCCATCTTACAGCTGTAAAAAAACATACTCAGATCAAATATGGGCACATAAAAAAAAAAAAAAGTGTATGGCCAATTATGGTAAGTCTGATCAGGCCAGCCAGACCAGTGACCACACTGTGCTTTGCTGGCCAAAAAGTATTATCTTTGTGATGCTTTCATCATTGTCATCATTATGATTAAAGCATACATATGGGAAATTGCATAAATGCAAATGTTTTTCATGATTCAGGTTATACTTTGAAAGTTTTAAGTAATAATAAATGTGAGCTCAATTGAAATTCCAAGCTCATACTATTTTTCCTAATAATCTATTACCTATTATCAAGCAGAAATACACAAAATAAATAAATAAGACACCTCACACCATCCCAAACCAAAAGTAGACAGGCCTAGAGAACAAGTTTTCCTGGCTTGTTTTCCATGATCACTATTAGACTTAGTACCAATGTTGATACAACCAGAGTAATCAGAAGTAAAATAATTCCCAAAACACTGATACAAAACTTAACAGACCTGGCACGAGTAGTATCTAAAGCGACCCACCTCTGATAAGCTCTTATTCCCATGCGAGAACCTTTAAGTGTAGTGTCCACTGTAACATGCACTGGATTGGTTGCCTCTCGTGAATAGTATTCATGAATGAGCAAAGAATGTTCTGTGACATCTGAGCCTGTAGCATACCTAGAAACAATCCAAAACACAAATTTTAAATGAAGCATTGCAAGAAATCTCTTCATCCATAATTGTTATATCTGTTAAAGAAAGTTATATCATTAGTCTTGCCCCTTAGAATCACTACTGATTTGCAGAGTGAAACTATCGATTGAGATTTGTAACATTTCAACTGCCTTTAACCGTTTAATTCCCCTACGTGACCAAGACAGAATTTCTCCTTACAGTAACAATACAGTATCAAGCAGATAAGTACGAAAAATATCAGTTAGAGGATTGTTAGTTGATCCAATACCAAATTCTCAAAATTAACATCACAAGAATTGTATGGCAGACAGTAAGGAGAATAACACTGATTGAGATCTTGGGAGTAAAAGAGTTAACACTGCCAATCTTTGCCAGGTTATGAGGTTGAATAATTATATAAATGTATATATCACATTTGTGCAGCTATATGGTCAGCTTCTATTGGTGCATTTTGCATGTTCATTTGACATAACTGAGATCTTTCCTAAAGAAAAGTCTCTTTAGCTATAAAAATCCTCTCTACATCTAATTCTTCCACTTACAGTCATCTTCCCTCTTTCAAATTTGATCATAAACAATAATGCTTTTTATGTGATTATGTAATAGTCAATGTACTCTAATTTAGGATTCCCTTGTTGTGTTGTTGACATCATTATTCAGACAAGTAATATTGTTTCCTCATAGATCCACTGTGGTTACAGCAGGCTTTCATGCTTTTTCATGATACTTGTAGATGTCAATGTTTCCAGAATTTTGCATTAACCACAGTGTATCTCTTTTCAATGTCCTTGGCAAGAAGTTCTATGTCTACTGCAAGACACATTTTGACCAAAATTTCTCTCAAACCACACCTTTAACTCACCATACATTTTGTAATCAACTTCAAAAACTGTAGAACATGTTCAAATTGTTAAAAAAAAAGTAAAAGTAAAAATTGTTAATCAACAGGAAAAGAAAGAAAAAACTTTTCAAGTTAAGAAAAAACCCTCAAGTGATTGACATTTAGCCTAAGAATTCTACAATCAAGTGGAGAATTCTCCAATCTGTGACACCACGTGAATAATCTAGAGGATATCATAAGCAGCACATGTACTCACCAGCCTACAATTTCATCATTTGGGTGTGATTTTTTGTGTAGATCAAACATACTTTTAGCATACTCTAGTTCAATGGCGACCTGAAATAAAGTAAGAGTCACAGATCCTAAATCCATTTCATCAAATCAATAAGAAGGTTAAGTCAGCATTTAAGTTTAGCAGTCTGTTTTGCAGAAGCTTATTTCCCTATCTCTAACATGGAGCAACATGGAGTATCATGCAGATCCATACAGGTTACCCTCTCTCCCTCCTCATTGGTAATTCATAAAAGGGTAGGAGGTGGGGGAGATACTGTTGTATCTATCACCATGATATTTCACCTACAAGAAGTTATTTGGTGACATTTGGTTTGTCACACATTCTTCTTGATAACATTTGCATTTTATGGCTATTCATGATCACTTGAGGCACATAATTGCCCCTTAGATGGAAGAAAAACTGAAACCCAAATAGGAAAAACTGAGAACCACATTGGTTACCAAATCCCAAAAACCTGATTGTGTTTTTGACAAAAACAGAAGAACAAATGCTAAAAAACAGAAAAGCTACAAACCATAACAGACACCAAAAACAGAAAACCAAAGTTTTTTGGCCAAAAACAAAAACATATCTACAAAATAACCTAAACTGCAAAACCAAAATTCCCAATGTCCCTCTAGTACCTATTTACACTCCTGGGTGGAATGAGAGGATACATGTATTTGAAAAACAACGAGTAGGTCTGTAACCACAACTTCAGAGTTGTTTCAACACATCAGGCTCAATAAATATTATTAATGAATTCACCCATCTTCAAACTAGCCTCTAAATTTCACTGAATAGAAGGAAGTAAGTTTCTGAAGAAACTGTGGTGCTTGCAGCAATGGGAGAGTATAAAAGGGTAATTTAGCATTATCAACTGAGTTGATAACATAAATCGGCCGCCGTAAAGAGTTTTAAAGCTGACGTTTTGAGTGTTAGCCTTCAGGTGAACGGCTAACGCCTTGAGAGGTCAGCATTCCCTCTGGAGAAAGAGCTAATGCTCAAAATGTTAGCTCAAAATTTCATTGCCCCCGGAGCTCACCGAAGGTATTCTCATAACATTAAAACATTTTTAAGCATAAAGGTGACAAGATAGAGAAAATGATCGAACAAGGAATACTATTTGATTTAAAACCAACTACTCAGTGCTAAAATTACCAGTAATCTAAAGAGAGAATGCACAGAATTAAGATGAATTAGGTCTTTCAAAAGGAAGTGTAAAAAGAGGGAAAACAAGGAATATATGGAACAGCCGACATACCCACAGAAATGTAATCACGATACGGTATATATAATACAATTATTTCGCGTAATCGTCCTGTAATGCAATGATACAATGCTTTTTCCTTGAAAATTAAGCGTTTTGCAAATAACATCTGAACTGACATATTGATTTGGATGAAAATTTATCATTTTACTGCCACCCTTACACATCGAATAAATATGCTAAAATTACTCAAACTGGAGTAAATTTAAGCCGGAAACTTAGAGAAAATTCGCCGGCAACATAAATGCTGTCATGAAAATAGGGCTAAAGTTTAATTTATTTACATGTGTGATCGCCTAAATTCAAATCAATTTAACATAGAACAGATCTTAATGACAGATACCTCACAGCGTACCTATCCATCAGAAGAATGTACAGGAGATAGATTGTGAAATTAAAAAAAAGGGAACAGCACAAAACAAGGCAATTAAGTTGTCTGAAGGCTTACTTCGTCTTCGGATTCATTGTGTGGAACGCCAAAAGAGCTTCGAATCTCGACTGAAGACTTGTCAATAGTTCCAAGAAGTGTTCCTATGACTCTTTTTGCGTCTTCCGAGCGTCTTTCGAAGCCATCCACGATCGAAAATAACACTACAGGATGAACAAACACTTTCCTCGCTCTCACTGTCTCCGACAGCGCCATCTTGAATGTTACGCACGTGTTTAATTAGTTACCAGGTCTACTAGGTCCATTTTGCTGGTTGAGCCTTCGATCTACTAGTAACAGACCAGCATTTCAGAATCAAGATAGCTCTGGTAAGGGTTGTCATGTTAAAATGAGGGGAGGTCTCTGTCAGAGTGGGAAGACTGGTTTAAGGAATTATGATTTTAGATGAATCTTCCTGGTTTTCTCAGCGGTGTTTGGTTCTTTTTTTAGCCCTTTCATCGCAAATTTGTTACTTACTATACTTTGAAAGTAAAACCTTTCGACATCTTAATTTTTTTGCCGAAGACGTGAAACGACAGGGATAAAGGAATGTTCAGAGATAATTTGACCTAAGTAACCTAAATCTAAAATGGTGAGTGTCTTGAAATCTCGACTAAGTTTATTTTAAAACAACAACAAACCGAGATGTAAAATGTCAGCCATTTAGCTAAGCACATGGTTGTCTTCGCTCTGCGCATGTTCTAGTGTTACTTAGCAACAATAAAATAGGTCCGCACAATATCGACACAGTGAGAGAAAAAAACACACCTGCTCCCATACTATGAAACATTCGAATAGTTAATTTGTTATATGCACACTTCCTGTTTTCGCCTTCCTGTTTACTCGACATAGGCATATCATTATTCTCTGTATTTGCAGCAATGAGCACGTTTCAGGAAGGCAAAATCTCAACACTAATGATCTTCATGAACTGCAAGATTTTTCAAAAATAAAAAGAAAGAATGACATGCAATTTTTAAACCACTGAATATCTTTTTCGTTTAATGCGTTATCTTAGGGTGTAATTCAGGTGTTATTCCTCTAGTTTGCTACCACGGATGGTTTCTGGTAAAGCACTTCAGAAATATTCTATAAATAACTGAGGGTCTTGATGAGATATTTCCAGAAATGCATGCAGTAACGAAAATGGCGAAAATTCGTCAAAATCGTCAAATCCCTCAAGCTGATTTCGCCTCGACAAATTTGACTAAAAAATTTACCAAAATCCATGAACATTCATACGGTTTGACGAAATTTCGTCAAATTATCCATTTCCGTTACTAAGTGCACTCTGGACTCGAGTAGAGTCTTGATGGGGTTAACTTTTAACCGTGAAACATCAAAAAATTTAGCCATTAAGCGAACGAACTGACAAATTTTAACCACTGTACGTAGATTATTTTTAACCGCAAAGTTACGTTAGCTGTAAAAGCCATCGCCCCATCGAGATCCATTTATCTGGAATCTTCATTTACACATTTAAAGATGAATAACTTTATCTGCTCTAACAATTTGAATTTTGGATGGCTCTCAAACATTACGTCGAATTTTCTTCTTCATCGTGAGTAAGTTATCCTTAACCTAAGCTTTGTGCAAGGTGTAATAAGCTTTAATTTGCAGTCATAACGTTGTGCGCCAAAGCTGTCACTCAACGAGTGTTTCAATTAGGCTCCCACGAATTTAATTACCTTGATACGTGCTTGAAATGCTATAGATAAATGATTTACAACTGTTAATTTCCCAGCACGCACAACTGAATAAAAATATTCAGTCTGTTGTTTCTGATTAGGAAGGAATATGGGAAAGTCCAAGGAAAAAAATATAAGGGAAGAACAGAAAACCTGAGTGCCGCCTTCATGAAAGAGAAAAAGTGGGAAATACAGTAAAGGAATTGACTTCTATTTGCCTACTAATAGTTAAAAGAAAAACAAAAGACGAGGCCAAACTAAAATGCTAAATAAAAATTACTAATTCAAAACTGTTTAGGTAGGCATGACAAAACTGATCACTCCAGATCGCTGCCATATTGACTTGCATCAAGAGAAAATCAACTGTTGAAAATATCTTGCTTGCATCAATAATGATTCATTTTCCCTCAGCAAGATTTCGTAGAGACGATGTTACCCCTGATGTATTTCTGACAATTAACTCCTGCAGAAGTTCAGTAAATAATTCATGAAGAGAAAGGTATAAATTTGTCAGCTGCCACTTAATAAATTTATGTATTTACAGCAAATCGGTGTAAACACGAGGCATTATGTTATTACCACGGGCGTGCTTCTTTGAATGAAAGTTCTCGAAGAGCGTATCGCAATGGACCTCGTCCTTCTGAACATCATAAGCATTCTGGCCTTGACGTTCTTTCCAACAAAAACGAAAGGTAAAAACTTTTTTATTTTTATTTCACACATCCTCCTCAACTGAATCATGATTTAAGGTCGATTCTGTGTTCTTATTTAGTTCATAACATAGATAATAGATTTTTCAATAGCGCGAAGGTGCTGCATAACCCAATTTTGCACGCCATTAAAGGTTAGTGGAGGAAATTTCTCCTCAGAAATCATGCAACAAAACAATTGTGTCATACTTCAGGTGTGCGTTCGTCGGGTTATGAAACACTTTGGAAAGTTAAGAAAACATTCAAGAACCAAGAGTTGCATTTGTCTTCACCTTGAGGAACTCTTGCGCATCTTTTGAGCTCTCCAAATCTCTCGCGTCTCAATAAACGCCTGCTGGCACATGAAACAATTGTTAATTGCCAAGACTGTTCTAATTTTGCACTTTTTCTGTCGATCATCACAAATAGGTCAACCAAAGACTATTGACGCACTTGGTAAAGGCATAGAGAGAAATGCTCACACTGGTGTCGCTTTCGCCAGATTTAAAGCGCACAAACTGTCCTACCTGAACATAACAGCACTTGGAGCAGATTATGTCCACAGCAGTAGAGATTGTGGACTTACCTGTATCAACACACCCTCGTGCTTTTCCTTCAACCTGGCTGCCGTTGTTGATATGAACAGTAAAATCCTATGTGAACTGCTTCCCTCGGACATCCACAACAACTCGAACAAACTGGTTGCCAATCGTCTTTTTCATCATTTCAGCATATGGGTAAGAATTTATATTTTATACATTTTAAGAGAATCGATGATGGTTATCTTAAAGATGTAGGAAGTTTAAGTCGTGTTTGCTCAGTAATTGCTTATAGGGAATATGGAAACAAAACGTCGAAGTCAGCGTAAAACGTTTGTGCAACATGTGATCAGATTTTAGCACCAAGACTCTTATACTGTATTAGCAAACATCCAGCTGGCTAAGAAAGAGGTGGTTAGCTTTCTCTGATGCTTTGATATGCTTTGTTTTATTTTGTTTCTTGACTCTACCTTTTTTTCCTGACTTAATCAATTGGGGCAAATAGGATATGGGTAAATTGGGAATCGTTGTGATAACTCTTGAACCTCCTTTACGGCGTTTGTTTTGGAGTTTTCTAATTTTATATAATGTGACGAATGAGAGCAAAATTACCTGGTTTTAAACGGATCAGTTATGAACAAGTTGGTTATTAAACGGTGATATTTCTTGGCTATTTTTCTTCTCACAGACTACTTCATGAAAAGCAGCGGCAATCTTTGAGAATTACATTCGTGACCAACGTGTATGAGGCAGCTAAATTTCACGACCAATACAATAAATTTTGAAGAACCTGAGCTTTAATTTAAAAAAAAATAAAGAATCTTCCTGACTAAAACGGAATTTATCGAGAGAAAATTCCGAGATAGCGTGTACCATGCAGGTGAAAAGCACTTTTCGAGCGCGCTGATGGCCTAGTCCGGACGTAACGTAATTTGCAATGATTTTTCTTGTACGAGCAGCACAATATACAAAATCGTGCATCAAGGGTTAAATTTCCGACCATGTTTCTTTACATTGAGAGAAAAAAATCATTTTTTATTTACTGTGTGATATATGATAAAACAATTATTCACCTCAGTGTTGATGAAAGTGTGAATATTTGCCACGCCGCTTCGCGGCTCAGTAAATATCCACCACTAGTCACCTCAGCTTTGGTTAATAACAGTTAACTATTTTGAATCTTATCGTATGTCAAGGTAGCATGCGCTACCATCTAGAGCTTCTTCGCTTTCCTAATTTTTTTGTCTTTAGTCTCCGTGCTTAAACAAGCCCTGTCAAAACAAAGGCACCTGCCGTTCAAATTACGTGAGCAACAGTTACGTGTGTGTTTGCACAGAAGGATACACAGGAAGTAACTGCGAAGCAGGTAGGCAACGATTTGTAATCATCATTCATCATTCCTTCTTTCAAAGTTTTTTCTTTAACTTTCTAGCATCTAATGGTACATGACATCGCCCTGACATCATACTAGAGCCCTCTCTAAGAATTATTCGAACACCTAATTCAGTTTGTACACAAGCGAAAATCGGAGCTGCCAGTACAAAATGCAGGGAAATGAGGTTATAACGGAAGCCAAAGGTTTCAAATGTATCAAGGGCCATTCGCATTACCAACTATATGCAGGAAATACAAATGTTTATTTTCCCTTGGCATCTTTAATTTAAAAACAAAACAAACAAAAAAAAACCAGACAATCTTCCAAGTTAAAACTTGTCATACGTTTTAAATATTCACGCTTCCTGAATCAATGAAAAAAAGAGTATGCCATGAAATTTTCAGTCACTGTGACACGACTTAAAGGTTGACATCAATTAGAAATATAGAGGAAAATTATAGCTTTTAGAGAAGATAAAACCGAAAACTTAGGACTACTTCGAAAAAAAAATGCAAAATATTGAAACAAAATATTGAGAAATGTGAAAGTTTTCGAGATACAGAAAAACGGCCTGCCTCGCTCAACAGACTGAAGCCAAGCAGATGCACGTATTAAGCATGGGACAATACACAGGAAACGCGGAACTACTATATGTACAAACCTTGTGCTTAAGTGTCCATTGCTCCTAACGATGAGTAATGATTTTCAATGTTGCTAGAAGAGATACATTCGAGCTAGAAATTCATTGGCACGAGAGCAAAAATAAAACAAACTTGCTTTATTCTAGAGGGGAACGGCATTAAGTGACCTTGTTTTATAAGTCCAAAAGGTGAAAAACATCAACAACAACAAGAATAAACAAAGAATCAAGCCTTTATTTTTAAGAATAACTGAGTGTATCAAAATCAATAATGCTTGCCTTTAC